ACACTTCAGGTTACAGACTCTGCTAACCCAGAAATATTACCTCGGGTTAAGAACTTTGCTTCAGGATGAGAACAGAAATCATGCTCCGGCGGCGCAGTGGCAGCAGGAGGCCCCATTAGCTAAAGTGGTGCTTCAGGTTAAGAACAGTTTCAGGTTAAGAATAGACCTCCGGAACGAATTAAGTACTTAACCCAAGGTACCACAGTACAGTCATACCTCGGGTTACAGCCACTTCAGATTGCATTTTTTGGGGTTGCAGACCACTGAAACCTGGAAGTACTGGAATGGGTTACTTCCGGGTTTTGGCAGTCACGCATGCACAGAAGACCAAACTAAAACCCACACATGCACAGACGTTCGCAACCTGAGCATCCACTGTACTACATTTTTTTTTAAGATTTGCCTTGAGGGAGTCTTTAAACCTCTCTTGTTGACCCACCAGCATTACGCTTTCCATTTTTAAGTGATGATCCAGCGAGTGAGTCAATTCCCAGCAACTGCTATTATTCAGAGGCATTCTGAAGAGAGAAAACATTCTGGTGGAGAGAAAACATTGCCGTTATGTCTAGGAGCCATTCATGCCTCTGTCTTCCATGTTGTAGTTGTTGTTTTGTGTTTTAAAGGGGGAAACAGGGCTGGTAACCAGGAAACTCCCACTCTCATGGAAACAGGGAATCAGAATTGCAGGGTTGGATAGCTTTAAAAGATGATTAGATGAATTCATTGTGCATCCACGGTCAGAGGCAGCAACGCTTCTGGACATCGGCTGCAGGAAATCCCTGTGCTCAGATCCTGCTTCTGGTTTTCCATTGGGGCATCTGGTTGGCCAGTGCGGGAACAGGATGCTCGACCAGATGGGCCATGGGCCTGATCCAGCACAGGCTCTCTTAACGTTCTCAAGTACTGGCTGTTCCCCATAAAGCCCTAAATGGCTTGGGATTTGGTTACCTGAAGGCTCAGTTACCTGCAGCTTTCAACCCCCCCCCGGCTCCCTCCAAATGTTGGGTACTACTATCCCATGGGCCTCAGCCAGCACCTCCCCAGATTGGGGGGTTGCTCTGCCCTGTGAATCTTTCCAAATCTTACAGTATTCTTGAAATATACTTCCCAGGGCGTGAATCAGTGTATACTGGTAGCCGGCAAGGAAAATTGACCACCTGAGGATGCGAGGAGACAGCTCTTGGGGGGGGGGTCTTCTTTTCAGGGGCAAACAAAGCAAGCAATGGCTTGTGGTCAGTCACCACGGTGAAGGGATGCGCGTACAAGATATCATGGAATTTTTTTACTCCCTTCACGATTGCCAGACCCTCCTTGTCGATTTGTGAGAAGGTTTTAGGGGATTTTTTGGGGGGGTGGCATGGCACCCCATATTTGCAATGGCCTCTGCAGAGAAGCTCACCGGGCACCAACATCACCAGGTGAAGTCTTCTTCTGTTGCACCAGCATCCCTGCATTTCTTGTAGCTGGTTTGCATCCTTGTTTCCTGCTCAGTTTTGCCAGCTGACATTGCTTTCATCGTCGCCTTTTATCCCATTGTTTTGTTCTTTTAATCGTGCGCCACCTGAGGAACTCATGCTCATGAGGGGGGCTCACAGATTGACTTAAGGAACAAGCAAAGACACCAGTGGCCTCCTCCTTTGGAGCCCTGGTGTTATGTACTGAGTTGAATAGGATCCAAAATGCAGCAGTCTGATTGGTCCTAGAACAATAGGATTCAGAATGCAGCAGTCTGATTGGTCCTAGAACAATAGGATTCAGAATGCAGCAGTCTGATTGGTCCTAGAGCAATAGGACCCAGAATGCAGCAGTCTGATTGGTCATAGAACAATAGGAACCAGAATGCAGCAGTCTGATTGGTCATAGAACAATAGGAACCAGAATGCAGCAGTCTGATTGGTCATAGAACAATAGGATTCAGACTGCAGCAGTCTGATTGGTCCACAGGAGCCACCCAATCCAGCTCCAGGTGGAAGTGAATCCACAACCTGATTGGCCTACAGGAGAATCCCGGAATTAGCCAATCACGTGGGGCCCATTGTGTAAATAATGTATATAAAGCAGACATTCTGGGGGAACTTCCATTCCTCCTCACCACTATGAGCTGAAAGAAGAGCATGAAATCCACTCTCGACTCAGAGTATATTTCACCTGGCCTTCCTGGAGCCAACTGCTCAAACCCTCAGAGGACCGTAGGCCAGCAAAAGGGCATTGGGCACCCGGCTCACCTCCCATTCTCTCCTCTTCCTCTGGTGTATTTTCTGCTGGTTTTAAATCAGTCTGAAATGCCGTCAGTGCCTCTCTGATTTCCTCCGTGCCAGCCTGCGATGCGCCTTCCCTTCCTCCTTTCCCTTTCCTCCTTTCCCTTTCCTGTACTTCTCCCTTCTTGATTTGGGGGTGATTAAGCAGCTGTTTATGTAGGCACATTGCTCTCCGGTGATTCTCTCTTCATTTCCTCTAGGTTCTAATACGCTGCAGTCGTGCCTCCGATTTGGTCCCTTTGAACACGGCAAGCCCCCCCCCCCAAAAAAAATCGGAGACTTTTGTCTCTCTCGTTTTCCATCTCCCCCTTATTTGCATGTTTTATCTAATTTCTGAATTGCGTCGTCCTGATTCTGCCATTCCAGGCGAGTCTCGGGGCTTGTTCAGACAGCTCTCCCTTTGGGGTGGAACAGGCGTTGCTGCTTCAGTGTGTCTCCCCCTTGTCCGTTAGAGAATTTTAAATGTTTGTTTTATTATTTATTGCTTGTTTTTCCTCCAAAGAGTGATGTACATGGCTCTGCCCCTCCTTGTTCAACATCCTCACAACCACCCTGTGAGGTAGGTTAGGCTGAGAGGCGTGACTGGCCCCCCAGGGCAGTTTCTGACCAAGTTGGGATTTGAACTCTAGTCTCCCAGGTCCTAGTCCATACTGGCTCTCAGAACACTGGTCTACCACGAACCCAGAACTGTCCACACTGACTTGCAGCAGCTCTCCACCCCCATCGTTCTGCCCGGACGCTGAGGTCCAGCCCCAAGGGCCTTCTGGCGGTTCCCTCACTGCGAGAAGCAAAGCCACAGGGAACCAGGCAGAGGGCCTTCTCGGTGGTGGCACCCGCGCTGTGGAACACCTTCCCATCAGATGTCAAAGAGATAAACAACTACCTGACATTTAGAAGACATCTGAAGGCAGCCCTGTTCAGGGTAGTTTTTCATGTGTGACATTTTAATGTATTTTTAATCTTTGTTTCATGTGTGACATTTTAATGTATTTTTAATCTTTGTTGGAAGCCGCCCAGAGTGGCTGAGGAAACCCAGCCAGATGGGCGGAGTACAAATAATAAATTGTTATTATATTATTTTAAGGCAGGAGGTGTAGCCCCAGCTCTTTCTGGAGATTCTGGGAAAGGAACCCAGGACATTCTTCTCCTCATTTGTGTATTTTATCTGCTTTCTGAACTGCGTTGTCCCAATTCTGCCATTCTAGGGGAGTCAACTCTCATTTGAGGGACTGGCGCTGTTGCTTTTTAGTGTGTCTTCAACATGAATGCTGGACTATGGATGGGAGAAATATCTGTGCTCTCCCCCTCCCAGAGACATTTTTGCATCAGCCCCAGAAGCCAGCAGGGCCAATGGTCAGCTCACCCCTCCTGGAAGGACGCAGGGGTCACCCACCCCACCTGCCTGGGCTGGTCCAGCAGGATCCTCTGGTGCTTTTAGGACTGACCCCTGGGAAGCAGACAAACCACCAGCAAGTTCTCTTGCACAGGCCCCATGGCAACAAAAATGGGAGCTGTACAAGGTGGAGCTGTACAAGGTGATGTCCTTTGAGACACCTGTCTCACGCAGTGGGCCTGATCTGGCAGAGGTACTGCACCCTCCTCTCATTGGCTCTCTTTGGGACTTCCCTCGAGAATATGGTTACCAGATTTTTTTCAATGAATACGGGGACACTTTATTTTAATTTTTTTTGAAGCTGGGTAGCAACAGGGAGTCAGTAGTGGGGATGGTGAGGCAAAAGACCCTGGACCCAAGCACACATGCATATTGTATAAAGGTGCAAAGCCCTTCTTTTGCACCCTGTGAAACATAAATGCGCAGAGTTTTTAAAAAACTGGGCAATGGCCACCCGCCCGCTCGCAACTCCCAAGCCTCCCCCGATCAGTCAAAACAAAGGGGAAAGGGGGCAGGAGATCTGTATCGCCGGACGTCCCTGGTTCCCCTTTGGCAGTGGCGGCGGCAGCGGCAGTCAGCAGCCCGGAGCCAGCCTGGGAGCACAGTTGGTTCTGGCTGGCTTCAGGAGATATTTGCTGCTCGCTGCCGTGGCGCCCACCATTTTTCCTCACTGGAAGTCCCCATATGATGTGTCTTGTGTGCAACACATTGTGTGGGGAGTTCTGGCAAGGAAAAATGGCGGGCACTACGGCAGCGAGCAGCTCCTGAAGTCAGCCAGAGCCAACTGCGCTACCAGGCTGGCTCCAGGCTTCTGAGGCTGCCATTGCCACGTTTCCCGGGGACAGATTTGCAAATCCGGGGACTGTCCCCAGGAACCGGGGACATCTGGTAACCCTACTTGAGGAGTCTTCAGGAGCTGCAGGAGATCCTGCTCCACCTCCTGAAGGGTCGAGTCAACCATCTCCACTGGCTTTCATGCACACCCATGAAACTATGGACATTAGCTACAACGGCTGCCATGCCTTTGAACGTTGGCTGCTGGAAGTCGCAGGTGTGGAGAGGGCTGCCACTGTTACACAAGTGTCCTGCTTGCGGGCATCTTAGAAGAGGATGCTCAGCTAAGTGGATCCCCTTTGGCCGGATCCAGCTGTAGGGTTTCTCTTATATACTTGTGTTTGCTCTGGACTCCAGTTCCTTAGAGACTATCTCCTACCATCTGTCCCATTTGCAGGAACTCAGCTGCGCTGGACCCTCATACTCAGAGGGCCAAGCCAGAATATCACACACACACACACACACGTTTTAATGCTTAATTCCCTGTCCCCAGAGTTGCTTTCAGAGCGTGGACTTTCCAGGTGGCGCAATGGGTCAGTGCATCTAGTTGTTAACCAGAAAGTTGGTGGCTCGAGGCCACCCAGGGAAGACTTGGGGCAAGATTCCTGCTTTGCAAGGGGTTAGGCTAGATGACCATTGAGATGCCTACCAACTCAACAATTCTATGACTTTATGGTAAAGGTAAAGGACCCCTGGATAGTTTAGTCCAGTCAAAGGTGACTATGAGGTTGCGGTGCTCATCTCGCTTTCAGGCCGAGGAAGCTGGCATTTGTCCACAGACAGCTTTCCAGGTCATGTGGCCAGCAGGACTAAGCCGCTTCTGGTGCAGTGGAACACTGTGACGAAAACCAGAGCGCACAGAAATGCTGTTTACCTTCCCACCGCAGCGGTACCTATTGATCTACTTTCACTAGTGTGCTTTCGAAGTGCTAGGTTGGCAGGAGCTGGGACAGAGCAACGGGAGCTCACCCTGAGCCCAAGAGGCTCCATGGTTTAGACCACAGCACCACCCACATCCCTATGACCGTATGATCCCAATGACTTTATGACCACAGTCTTTCTCCAGAGCCGGCACATTTAAATCTTTGAGCATACTTCTGAGTTTGCATTGGTGTGACATTGTTGTTTAGGAGCACATGGACATTTTTTTTCCAGGGTATAAATGTCTCTTGTGAAAGCAGGCTGAGAAGCCAGGCAGAGTTGCTGGTTATTGTTATTGTTGTTGTTGTTTCGGAGAAATGCTCTCCGCCCCTGAGTGACAAGCTGTTCTTCTCCATGGCCCTTTTCTCTCTCTAAGTTTCTTCTGCATCTTATAGATCAGCCTTTCTCAACCTGTGGGTCCCCAGATGTTGTTGGACTACAACTCCCATCTCCCCTAGCTAGCAAGGCCAGAGCTCAGGGATGATGGGAATTGTAGTCCAACAACATCTGGGGACCCACAGGTTGAGAACCGCGATGGCTCAGACTTGCCCATGTAGCTACCGATGGGCCATTGCGCAAGGTCCATTGCATGTGGTGATAATCCTGTTGCTTCTCTCAGAATCGGTTGTTGTGGAAGTGGGGGCTGGGGTTGGTTTATTTATTTACCTCCTTGCCTGTGATCTCTGCGGGCAGGTTCTGCTTGTGAGCCATGATGTCAAACCCATTCTGCGGGCGAAGGCCGTATCGGAAATGCGTCGTCGTGAGCCAGAGAGGCCTGCAGCTAATTGGCTATTCTGCTGCATGCAGCCAACATCGTTTGCAAATCAATCTCACGGACCCAGCAAATGACAAAACTGCCCTTGATAGTTTCTCATGTCCCTGTTTTTGAAACCACCGTCTTCCCTTGTGTGCCGGTGGAAGGGAGAGGGCCTGGTCTTAAAAAACACACATTGAAAGACGGATTTAGAAATAGCAAGAATGGAGGGAGGGGCTGGGGGGACGGGCAGCAGGCTATCAGTATTCCTCATAGTTTAGCACAGCTAGCATTGGTACCAAGCGGCAAAGACAACTGTGCTTAGAGATGAAGCACAAAAGTCTGTGTGAATGAGCTCTCAACTGCTAAATCGGAACAAACATCCATCTTCAGAAAACCTGATTGATGTTTGTTTCAATTCAGTGGTGGAAACAGAACGTTTTCCTGGGGACAATATAAAAACCACTTGGACCTGGGTCTAGAAGTCATGGACAAATTGGAGGAGAGGGTGAGCCATTAGTGACCATTTCCCAAACCATTCCTGAGCAGCCTCTTTCAGGAGCTGCCACCCTCCTTGGTAAGCATCCAAGATCAGTGCCAGGGAGGGGTACAGATCCGGCTCCCCCCAGGTGGTACCAGCCGGGCTCAGCAGCAAACGAGTCTCTTGGGAGCCCGAATGCCACCTGGCCCTGTTCAGTTTGTCTGGTTGCTTTAAGACCTCACGCACGGATGCATGGATGTGTGGAAATGGCTCCGATTTATCACCTGCAGAAAGTGGGGGGGGGGTGACTGGGAGGAAGAGCAAGGCGGAGAATATACGGAGTGCACCTCCCCTCCCTCGAATGAGTCTGCATTTTCCTGAAATGGCTTCAGCCGCTCTTGAGCTGCCTTCCTTCCCCCACTCATGGCCATAGAATCATTGGGATTGTGGCCTTTCTGCAGCCGGATCCTGTGCACGTTTACTCAGGAGTCAGCTCCACTGAGTTTGATCCCAAACAAATTATTCTCAGGAGCACCAGGCTCAGTGTGCAAATGCTTTTACAATACGATTGATGATTGATTGATTGATTGATTGATTGATTGATTGCGTTCATATCCCACCATTCCTCCAAGCAACTCAAGGTGGCGTAGGTCTTCTCCTCCCCATTTTATGCTGTGAGGTAGGTTAGAATGAGAGACTGTGGCTGACCCCCATGGTCCCCCGTGAGCTTCAGGGTTGAGTGGGGATTTGAACCCTGTTCTCATGTTGCCACCCTCAGGACCTCTTGGGGTGGAGGCACATGAAGAAGGGCCTCAAAAGATGATCTCAGGGTCTTCATAGGTTCTTAAATGCTAGGTAAAGGTAAAGGGACCCCTGACCACTAGGTCCAGTCGTGGCCAACTCTGGGGTTGCGGTGCTCATCTCGCTTTACTGGCCGAGGGAGCCGGCGTACAGCTTCCGGGTCATGTGGCCAGCATGACTAAGCCGCTTCTGGCGAACCAGAGCAGCGCACGGAAACGCCGTTTACCTTCCCGCCGGAGTGGTACCTATTTATCTACCGTATTTTTTGCCCTATAGGACGCACTTTTTCCCCTCCAAAAATGAAGGGGAAATGTGTGTGCGTCCTATGGGGCGAATGCAGGCTTTCACTGAAGCCTGGAAAGCAAGAGGGATCAATGCGCACCAACCCCTCTCGCTCTCCAGGCTTCAAGAAGCTATCCGCAAGCCGTGGGAGAGCTCTCCCACGGCTTGCGGATAGCAGCCTGTTCTGGGGGCTGCGGTCAGGGGAAGCTCAGGCTTCCCCTGCCCCAGCCCCGTGCCTGGGGGGGGGGAATAATTTTTTTTTCTTTATTTCCCCCTATGCGCCCTATGGGACGAAAAATACGGTACTTGCACTAGCGTGCTTTTGAACTGCTAGGTTGGCAGGAGCAGGGACCGAGCAACGGGAGCTCACCCCGTCGTGGGGATTCAAACCGCTGACCTTCTGATTGGCAAGTCCTAGGCTCTGTGGTTTAACCCACAGCACCACCCGTGTCCCTTCTTAAATGCTAGCTGATACCATAACAGAATTCACTTAAAGCGGTATGGCTAAATTTTACTCAGAATAGATGCATTGGAATTAGTGCACCCAACTTCATCATGTTAGTTGATGGTGTTTTATTGCATGCGGGTTCCTTTATTAACACAAAACACCACACCACACCACACCACACCAACACAACACAACACAACACAACACAACACAACACAACACAACACAACACAGGGCTTTCTCACATATTATTCCTGTCCTCGCAACAGAGACACAGACCCAGTGTCTTAGCCCTGGATGAACAGCCTGGAGAACTTACTGATTAACCACAGTGGGGTCCTGGCCTTCCCCGCCTTTGAACAGTCATCATCACTCTGACTTCAAAGGCCTTTCAAGGTAGAGGAACCTTGTTATCACTTGAAGGATCCTTTCCTGGAGGCAAAAGATGACTTTGATCAGCTCAGGGATGGCTCCCTGTTTGTCTATCCTTCAGTTGCTTTCAAAGCTCCCCCTGTTGATCCCTAATCTGGCCAGGTGCCCCCTGTGGAGAGGAGGTGCTGTGGGTTAATGGAGAGGGAGCAGCTCTCTGCAGGGGGTGGGTGTCCATATTTTAACCCCCGAGTCTCCAGTAAAGACAGGTGAGGGGAAAGGCAAAGGCTTTTCTCCAGCTGAAACCCTGGAGAGCAGCTGCCAGTTACGAGTTAGCAGCACTGGGCTGGATGGTCAAGGAGCTTGGCCTGGCGTAAGAAGGAAGCCTCCTCCGTTCCTGTGGAGTTGACAGACTTAGCCGAGTCCAGGCATCCTGAACAGGAATGACCTTGGAGCTTCTGGAAGGGTGGAGGGCAGAGTGCCTTTGAGGTCTCCCCTGTGCCTGCAGACCCATCCAAGACAGGCAATGTGAGGCAATGTGAGATGCTTTTCAACATCTACATGCAGCCTCTGGGAGAGATCATTAGGGGGTAGGGCTGGGTGTCCATCAATATGCGGGTGATACCCTCTCTACCTCTCTTTCAAATCAGAACCAGTGAAGGCGGTGAAGGTCCTGTGTGAGTGTCTGGAGGCAGTTGGAGGATGGATGGCGGCTAATGGATTGAGGTTGAATCCTGACAAGACAGAAGTACTGTTTTGGGGGGACAGGAGGCAGGCAGGAGTGGAGGATTCCCTGGTCCTGAATGGGGTAACTGTGCCCCTGAAGGGCCAGGTGCACAGCCTGGGAGTCATTCTGGACTCACAGCTGTCCATGCAGGTGCAGGTCAATTCTGTGTCCATGGCAGCTGTTTATCAACTCGATCTGGTACGCAGGATGAGACCCTCCCTGCCTGCAGACTGTCTGCCAGAGTGGTGCATGCTCTAGTTATCTCTCGCTTGGACTACTGCAATGCGCTCTATGTGGGGCTACCTTTGAAGGTGACCCAGAAACTGCAACTAATCCAGAATGCGGAAGCTAGACTGGTGACTGGGGGTGGCTGCCGAGACCATATAACACCAGTCTTGAAAGACCTACACTGGCTCCCAGAACGTTTTTGAGCACAATTCAATGTGTTGGTGCTGACCTTTAAAGCCCTAAACGGCCTCGGTCCAGTACACCTGAAGGAGCATCTCCATCCCCATCATTCTGCCCGGACACTGAGGTCCAGCGCTGAGGGCCTTCTAGCGGTTCCCTCTCTGCGAGAAGCCAAGTTACAGGAAACCAGGCAGAGGGTCTTTTTGGTCCTGGCACCTGCCCTGTGAAACGCCCTCCCATCAGATGTCAAAGAGAAAAATAACTTTTTGAAGACATCTGAAGGCAGCCCTGTTTAGGGAAGCTTTTAATGTTTAATAGGTTATTGTATTTTAGTGTTCTGTTGGAAGCCACCCAGAGGGGCTGGGGAAACCCAGCCAGATGGGCGGGGTATAAATAAA